CGTCCTCAGCCTCCTAAGCAGTTAGTACCACAGGTGCCACCAAACCAGACTATTTTTTCTAGAGAAGTCTCACTCTTGTTCAGGCTGGTCTCAAACTGCAAGCCTCAAGCAAAGTGATCCTCTTTCTTGCCTTGGCCTTCCAAAAGTGCTAGGATTACAGGCGTGGGCCATAATTGGGCATGGGCTCAAGCGTATAATCCTAGCACTCCAGGAGGCTGAGACGGGTGGATGACCTGAGCTCAGGAGTTCAAGACCAGCCTAAACAAGAGGGAGACCCCATGTCTATGAAAAATAGAAAACTGGAGGTGTGGCCAGTGCCTGGTAGTCCCAGCTACTTGGGAAACTGCAGGCTAGAGTATCTATTGAGTCCAAGAGTTTGAGGCTGCTGTGAGCTATGATGATGCCAAGGCATTCTACCCAGAGAGACAGAGTGAGACTCAGTCCCCTCCCCCCCAAAAAAAGTAGTTATATAAGTTCTTCCTCAAGGGTGTTCCTACTGATAAGCCTTTCCTTCAAATGTTAAACATTTAAAGTAGCCAAGGGGGGCTGGGCATGGTGGCTTACACTTGGGGGACTGAGGCAGGTAGATGACCTGAACTCAGGAGTTTGAGACCAGCCTGAGCCAGTGCAAGACCTCATCTCTAAAAATAGCCAAGTATTGTGGTAGGCACCTCTAGTCCCAGCTACCTGGGAGGCTGAGGCAAAATAATCAGTTGAGCCCGAATCTGAGGTTGCTGTGAGCTGTGACACCACAACACTCTACTAAAGGCAACAAAGTAAGACTCTGTCTCCAAAAAATAAATAAATAAAAATAAATAGTAAAGTAGCCAAGGAATTGCTACAAGTAGAGAAAGATTTCATGATATCACAAGGTGGGTGGATTGCCTGAGCTCACTGATTTGAGAACAGCCTGAGCCAGAGCAAGATCCCGTCTCTAAAAAATAGCCAGGCATTGTGGCGGACATCTGTAGTCCCAGCTACATGGGAGGCTGAGGCAAGAGGATTGCTTAATCCCAAGAGTTTGAGGTTGTTGTAAGCTAAGACGCCACGGCATTCTACCAAGGGTGACCAAGTGAGACTCTGTCTCAAAAAAGAAAAAGATTTCATGACATCAGAGAAATTGGAAAAACAGAGAGAGGGTTAGGCCAAAGTCAATCAAATTCAAGAGAATGACAGGCTGGAATGGGAGTAAATTAAGTTCCACATCATTTACACTTCCACTGTACAAAGAAATGAATATTTAAGTTCCTCCCCGTTCTCTAAGAGTAGAACCAACAGGCTCACTCAAGGATGCTGGCTATTTTAAAACACTTAAGAGCAATTTTATACGCTAGCTATAAAGATGGAGTCAAACTAGTGACCAGAGAAGTTAAAGCTGAAAAAAAATATGTCCAATGTGCCATCTGGGGTTTGATTTAAATCCCTGATTTTGGGATTTGGGGGCACTGTCAAAGATGAAATCTGTGGAATCTGCCTATGATCAAATGTTGGATTGGAAGACAAGAAAGTTAAGTTATTAAAGCCATCAAATATATTCCTATCAACCTTGGGAGACTCAAAAAAGTATTGACTGAACAATCAACTTTTTTTTTCCCAATAGTTATTACGCTCCACAAATTATTTCCAAATACCACAAGGTGATACAGAAAATATCCTCTGTTCTTAAACAAATATCTAAGTACAATATAAAGAAAGAAATTAAAATTTGCATTTTAAATGTTACAAAACCAGAAATAAGACTAATTTTAAGTTTAAAAAGGCCTCAGCCCAGAAAACAAATCTGGTTATCCCATATACTTGATATAATTTCAAACAAAGGTGTTTAGTTCTCTTTAAAATCAGGATTTGGGCTCGGCGCCTATAGCTCAACCGGCTGGGGCGCCAGCCACGTACACCTAAGGTGGCGGGTTCGAATCCCCAGCCCGGACCCGCCAAACAACAGTGATGGCTGCAACCAAAAAATGGCCGGGCGTTGTGGCGGGCGCCTGTGGTCCCAGCTACTTGGGAGGCGGAGGCAGGGGACTCGCTTGAGCCCAGGAGTTGGAGGTTGCTGTGAGCTGTGGTGCCATGGCACTCTACCCAGGGGGACAGCTTGAGGCTCTGTCTCAAAAAAAAAAAAAAAAAAAAAAAAAAATCAGGATTTGAATACAGTCTTCTTTCTTAATTACCTTATAGTGCATTATCTTACCATATTTTCACAAATTTCTGACAACCCCTGGGCCCCATATATAAAATAATGTGAACACCCTAAGTTTTCAAAAGCCAAGCAGTTTAGGAGCTTCCCTAAGAAAACAGCTATAAACTGAAGCCATATAAGTACCAATAATTAAAGATATAAAGGTAAAAACAAACATAAATAGAAATGCTTTGTAAGTCACCCCCTCACCTCCTAACAAGTAAAATATCAACAGTCCCAATTCCCCCTTTAATATAGCCATTTTTGTTCTAAAAACTCAGTGAACAAAAATCATCTAGAAACACAGGCATTACAGAGCTATTGCCATGGAAAATATTTCATATCTCTTGAAGGATTTGTTGCTGTATTTCAACTGTATGAAACCACTTGTTCACAGTTAGTGTTCCAAAAAATAAAACAGTTTCAAAACAAAGACTGTTTACATCTCTTAAGATGCCTTTGTTCCAAAAAGACCCCTCTTGAAGAGCTACAACTTCTGGAAAGGTTTCTCTTTTTGTGGTTATATCAAAAGCAAATACTTCCAAACTCTTTCCATTTGTCATAGGAGTTTGTTAAACAAAGGAGGATGCAAGTCTCCTCCCCACAAAGGAGGTCTCCAAAATAGAACACTGGTTATGTTTGTAGGTTATTTGTGCCTCTTTAACCCCCTTCCTCAGGCTGTAGTGTGTAGTACTCTCAATACAAAATGGTGGCCATCATGTCTGTCTGACACTCAGAATGGAAAAAGGCAATACGATCACACGTTTTGCAAACATTGCCATTAATATATCAGCCAAGATAAGGAAATGGGTAGCCAAACCTAACCACAGTTAACACTATCTTTTTGAGAACAGGGCCCTCTAAAAGGCAAAGAATAAGAAACCAAGATAAAGGATTTACCCCAGCCCTAGAATATACCACAATACCAACATGGAGGACAACTCCCAGGAACCTGACTCCTCACATTTTGGTTACTAAGAACTTACTCAAGTTATTACCTAATTTCTTAATAAAATCCCCACCATGCAAATATACAATATGCATACCCACTCTTCCTAGCATGTGACATAAAGCTAAACTGTTAAATGTTTGAAACATGACTTATTATTCAAGAAATAAAACCTTGGCTCTAACCAGCCCGGTTATAACTTCTGCAGGCCTTTTTGCACTCTTAAAGAAATGTACTTCCCTGAAGCAACAAGAATTACCCTTGACCACTACACTGAGAGAAATGGATCTATTTTCAAACATTTCTCCTATACTAGTTGACCAGTTATTTTCTGAGGCATGTATTTCATCTCCATTTTCAAACTTGTTTAAGAAAAACTAAAGTATGATGTCCCTGTTTTAATCTGGGGTGGGGGAGGAAGTTGGGATAAATTAGAATTATTAGGGGATCTCCCTCAAAACAGCTTTTCAAAACAGAATGATTACAAACAAAATCCCCCGCAACTCAAAATGTCATTACAAAGAGCAAGCTTAAGGGAGAAGGGGGGGGGGGATCTTCCTCCATCACGGGAGGGGGGCGGGGAAGGAGAGTGGGTGAAGATTCTTAAACCGTAGGAAAGGCAGTTAAACCACCTTCGCAACGGTCCCAGCCCATCCAACCGTCGTTTAGGCCGACTCGGACTCAGACCATCCCGAAACACGGGGGGAAGAAACAGGGGTGTAGGAGCGCATCCAGTTCCGACTGTGGGGGTTGGTAGGGTAGGGAAGGGGCTGGCCTGGCTTAACCCGGTGAACGTTGGAGCGGTTAGGGATGGTTTCAGAGACACCCACCCCACTCACAGGCCGCAGGCACTTTGGACGGAGCTTAGGGGGCTGAGGTGGGTGACTGCATTTCAGCCTCCGAAGAGTGGGCGCCCGGGCAAAGAAGAATGAAATCTTCCGAGGTCTTCTCGTCTGACACCCCCTCGCCCCACAAACACGGCCTCGCTCCCACCCCATCCCACCAACACAGACCAGGCCTCCCCGGGGATTACAGAGGCTGGGCCAGAAATGGGGTGTGTGTGCGCTCCAGAGCGCGGGAGGGCATCGGGGCCCAATGCCGCCGGTCCTACGCTCCACCCCCCCCAAAAAGTACCCCCTAAACACTTACGCCCCCCACAACATATCAGCTCCGGGGCCGGACCGCCGGCTCCTCCTTGCCCCCCGGCAGTGCTGGCCGCCCCCTCCGAGACCCCTGCCCGGGGCACACCTGGAGGCCCGGGGACCAGGGGGTGGGGGGGTGCCCTGGTCTGGAGGGTGGGGCGCCCAGGTAAGGGCTGCTCCAGGCCGACGCCGCCACCACACAAAGGACCAGGGGCTCCCGCCGCCATATTGAAAACTTTCCTCCTCGCACGACAACTCGCAAGTCCCCCACCCCCACCCCATCACACACCCCCGCACCCCGGGAGAGGAGGCGAGGACCAAGCCTGCGGAGCCTCGCCAAGCCCACAGCTCTGCCTCCACGCCCGAGCCTCTGCTAGACTCCAGGAAGAAACTCCCCCGCGACCACCCCCAGGCTCCTGCCACCACTCCATCCGGAACCGAACCCGAACCCCTGGGATGGGCCGCGCACCGTCTGCCCGGTCCCCGCGGCATCCCGGCCCTTCTGTGGTACCACCGCAGCTCCTCGCTCTCCCACACTCCTTATTTCACACCCTAGAAAAGCCCCAGTTTTCCTCCCGCTGCCTCAACTCCGACCCCCTGGGCAGTCCCAAACTTAGCGAGGCCTGCAGGGCAACCTGTACCCCGCCCCCCACGCCTCGGGCCTCCTTGGCCCCGCGCGTCCCCACTCCCTCCACCAGCCGCGAGCAGGATCCGGGGTGCTGGCGTGACTCACCGGCGGCGGCCGCACCTTACAGATCCCAGTCTGCTCGGCTATGGGCCGGATCTTGTGGATGAAAGCGAAGGGGTCCGCGAACTCTTCCCAGCTGGGCTCGAAGACCGGGCACTCGGGAGGAGGCAGGAACTCGCCCAGCGGGCCCGGACCCCCGAGGGGCAGCGCCTGGCGCGGGCCTGGGGGCAGCGCGGTGGCCGGCTCCATCACCGCAGGTCGGGCAGTGGTGAGGACAGGGTTGGCTCCGGGACCGTAGCTGCAAGCTCCGCTCGGTCCCAGACCAGTGCAGAAGCGGACCCGGCGACAGCAAGTCCGACTTGTACCAGCAACGGCAGCACCTTGGGCTTTTTCAGTCTTCCTCCGACGACGTCTTGCCGTTTGCCCACGCCGTGCGCCTCCGCCGCCACGGCGAGGAAAAAGAGTCCCACCCCACCCCCATCCCCTTCGTGCCTAGCTCCCCGCCCCGCCTCCGAATAGGGCGGGGCCTAGGCCTTCCGCTTGGGATTGGAGTTTATCCATTAGGTTCGCTAGAGACAACATTTATTGACCATTTACTATGTAGCAGAGTTACTGGCCTCAAGAAGTTAATAGTCTGGTAGAGAGGACCAGATCCATAAGCCACTCTATTCAATCGTGTCAGTCTACTGTGATAGGTGCCATGAGAGAAATATACACTTCATAAAACAGAGAAGGGGCAGAAAATATTAGAAATCAAGAAGGACTTTTGGCATGGTGCCTTTAGCTCAAGCAGTTAAGGTGCCAGCCACATACACCAGAGCTGGCAGGTTCAAATCCAGCTTGGGCCTGCCAAACAACAATGACAACTACAACCAAAAAATAGCCAGGCATTGTGGCGGGCGCCTACAGAGTCCCAGTTACTTGGGAGGCTAAGGCAAG